TTATGGTCTCTCTTCACATTAATAAAAACCCTAACTGCTAGGCAGATCTCTGAGTTTGAGGCCAGCCAGGTCTACAGATTTAAGTTCTAGGACAGCTAAGGCTACACCGAGAAACCCTGTCTCGAAAAGAAAAGCAAACAAAACTAAGAAGTTGGTACCAGGGACTGGGGTATTGCTGTGAAAGGCCTGATCATTCTTTTGTTTGGAGGAATTTGAACTTGAGGAGTTTGGGTTGGGAGAGCAGTGGAATGATTTAAGGCTGCTTAATATTCTAGTAGGAGCATAGAAGACAGTGGTACTAAGAGTGATTTGAATTGTAGGGGACTGGCTCAAAAGGTTTCAGAGGAAAAGAATTTTACTATGTTGCCTAGAAGTCGTTCTTAAGATATTTTGGTGAAGAATGTGGCTGCTTTTTGGCCTTGTCCAAAAAGTTTGCCTGAGGCTAAAGTGAAGAGTTGTAAATTAATTTCCTTGGCAGAGGAAATTTCAAAACAGCCCAGTATAGACTCTCTTGTGTGGTTACTAGTGTTAGCTAGTGAACAGGAGCAAACGGAGCAAGGAAATCTATTTTTGAGGAGAAAAGGAGCACCAGAAAGTGGGAAGGAGATACAGGGAGTGGTGGCCTCAGGGCAGGATGCCCCCCCACCTAAGTTTCCAACTTTTGAAAAGGAATTAAAGAAAAACTTTGAACCAGGTGTGTATGCATGCTTTTAATCCCAGTACTCCAAAGGCAGAGACAGATGCATCTCTGAATTTGAGGCCAGCCTGGTCTACAGAACAAATTCCAGAGCAGCCAGTCTTAGGCAGTGAGAGAAACCATAGGAAACAGAAAGCTAGTGAAGAGGTAATTAAACGAGGGGCTCATGTTCCATCCTCAGTGAGCAGCAGAACTTGGCAGTTTTGACCATGTGACTCTAGAGTTAGGGACAAAAGAAAGGGACTGTGGAATTTAGGGAAAGCAGCTGAGGATAGGCATATGTCAGGGATGCCCCTGAATGGAGGCCTAGAGAGGCCATTGCATGGAGCTGTGAAGGTGAAGCCTAGATTGCCTTGGAGATCCTACGATGTTAGAGATGCCAGAGCTGTGGGATACCTGGTGAGGAAAGCTGCTAACAGAAGTAGAACAAGTCCAAGAGAAACAAGTGTGTTGGAGCCAACAAAGCTGAATGGAATTGGAGATCTGAAGAGGGTTTTGACATCAGATATGGAGATGTAGAGTTAGGACTTGGCCCAGCTGGTTTTTGGTCTTACCTTGGTCCAGAATTTCCCCACATTGTTCCTTTCCCTGCATTTTTGAATGTGTGTGTGTGTGTGTGTGTGTGTGTGTGTGTGTGTGTGTGTGTGTGTATTGTGCCATTATACGATGGAAGTATGTGATCTGCTTTATATATATTGTGCCATTATATGATGGAAGTATGTGATCTGCTTTTTGATTTTGATTTTTACAGGGGATTGCAGTTAAGAGGTTGCATGAGTCTCAGAAGAGACTTTCAACTTAGACTTTTGAATAAGTCTGAGACTCTGGTAGGCTATGGGGACTTTTGAAAGTGCATTATGATATAGCTATAAGCATTAGGGAGCCAGAGGTAGAATGTGGTGGTTTGAAAGAAAATGGACCCAAAGGAGTTGGCATTCTTGTGGGAGTAGATGTGGTTTTGTGGGAGGAAGTGTGCCACTGTGGGCAAGGACTTTAAGGTTTCATATATGCTCGTACCTCACCCAATGTCTCAGTTCACTTCCTGTTGCCACAAAATGTAGAATTCTCGGCTGTCCCTCTGGCACCATGTGTGCCTTCACACCACTGTGACTGACCCTCTGAAAGAGTAAGCTGCCACTTCAATTAAATGTTTTCGTTTATAAGAGTCCCTCTGTGTCTCTTCACAGAAATAGAAACCCTAAGACACCACTCACACCGAAAACCTTGGTCCTTGTATAACTGAAACCAGTAAAAGAGGATAAAGATGGATGTCTTAGAGATGAGAAGTTTTCAAGCCCTGGATACAGACAGGTCCATATTATGGAATGAGGTCTTTGTTTCTTTTCCCAGTGTGGCTGCTTGAACTAAATCTCTTTCTCTGCTCTTCTTTGTTTGTGTTTTAGTTTAGTTTGGGTTGGTTTTGCACCAGGGTCTCTCCATGTAGTCTGGCTTTTTGGAAACTCACTATGTAGATAAGTCAGGCTGGCCTTTAAACTCACAGACATCCACCTGACTGCTCCTACCAAATGCTGGCAAAAGGCATACATCACCATGTCCAGCATTTCCCTGCTCTTCTTTCTCATCTACCAGGCCTATGGAGGATAGATGTCCAAAGTCTAGGTGGTTGGAGTTGCCAGGGACCAGGCTCTGACAGTCCCCTGGAGGATCCCTTCCTGTAAGTGATCCTATGAACAGCCCTCAGGTGAATGTATGGGAGATAGGAACAGCATTTTGCGGAGCTGGGGTGTCAGGAGACAAGACAAGTTGTGGGTCTGGCTGGTGCAGTAATGGGCTGAGAAGGCCCCAACACTACTATCCTGGAGAAGTACACCCAGCACCCCTGGGTTAACTAGGCAAAAGAGGAGCAAGCAGGCCATGATGGGTGGCCAAGGGTCTTCATTATTAAAGATGCCAGGGCTCAGGCTCTGACCATAAAAACCCCATGGAGCATCACTGCTTGTAAGCCATCCTATGAACAGCCCTCAAGTGGATGTCTGGGAGGCAGGAGCAGCGTTTTAAGGAGCTGGAGAGTCAGGCGACAAGTTGTGGGTCTGCCTGGTGGAGTACTTGGTGAGAAGCCCCCAACAATACCCCTGAAATGCACACCAGGCTCCCCTGGGTTACCTGAGACCAGGATGGGAGCTAGTCTCAGATACATCAGAGAGGGCCTCCTTGTGTGTCTATAGACAACCACTGTTCTCTGTTTGCCCAAAGAGGAAGAACAACATCCTTGCGGGAAAGACTCAGAAGCACAGTTTATCAAACTTCAATAAAAAAATAGAAGCATGTGTGCTCCAGACAAAGAATTCAGGTTCTAGAAGTACATCCAAGCTGGAGTTTTCTAAATCTGGTGATCAGAGTATTTCTCCTAGATTGCTTTACTCCCCAACAACAGGTGGACTGTGTTTCCTTCCCTCTAATGAAGCTTTTGGGCTCTTGGCCCTGCCCTGCTGCATGGCTCTGAGAGGCCTTCTGCTGGCTCACCACCAGTGTGACCCCAGCTGTCCCCACTGGCAGCCAACATAGCATCCCTTTGCAGACCCGAGTCAGCAAGGCTTCAGACCCTTGGAACCCCAGCTGCTGGGCATGACCTGTCACCACAATTGCACAGCTGTAACCAAACTAAGTGTGGCCATCAACTGAGATTGCTAATATTTGATGTTCTTGGTGCAGTAGTTTAATTAATAGTATAGAAATGAATGACACTGCTAAGTTGTATACAATAACCCAGCTGGAAACTTTTACTAGGTAGCACTGGACACTGATCATGGTTTTTACAATGAGCTTCTCTGTGACCACAAAGAGAACAAAAATGGCTGGAGAGATATCTCAGTGGTTGAGAGCACTGGCTGCTCTTGTGGAGGATCAGGTTCAATTCCCAGCATCCACGTGGCATCTCACAACCATTCACAGCCCCAGAACCGAGGGACTCAGCATGCTTTTCTGGCTTCCATGGACACTGCACACATGCACTGCATAGACATACATGCACTCATACGTGTAAAATAATAAGAGAACTTTTAAAAGAAATAAAACAATTTTAGTTAAGTAAATTTCATTGTGTATGATAATGTGTAACATGTCATATAAATAGATGTTTACATTGAGAATGTCCCCTCCCATAAATGCTTCTCTTCACAGAAGTCCCTCCAAACACCATTGGTCCTATTCAACTACCTAGATATTTCCTGCCATTTATACCAATATAAATTTTGATATTTCTATAAAATCTAAGGACCACAATATTGCTCCTCTCTTTTTTTCTGCCTTGTAGTCTTGCATTGAATTTTAAGTTTCTCATTTTTCCTTCAACAATCCTGAAACTTAAATAGGAATGAATTTTGAACTGGTCTTTGAAGAATGAAGATGGGGAAAATTTTATTGAAGTCCCTTTTTCCTCCTATGTTTCTGGAGGCAAAGTTTCTCTATCGCTTTGGAGGCTGTCCTAAAGTTAGTTTGTACTTTTCCCTGGGGTAAGGAATGTTGGGAGAAGTGGAGACACCTGCAATCCAGAACACAGACATCAGTGTCTGGGGATGCAGAAGATGAACACTGTTGCCTGTGGAAGCCCAAAGGAAGTAAACACTAGAATGCATAGAAAAGGAGAGGAGCCCAGTATGGGCATGATTAAACATGAGTGCATATAGTTTACTTCTCTCTTACCCCAACACTAACCTCATCTTCAACATCCCTAAGGCCACCTGAGCATGACATTTTCTATACTGATATGCTTCTGGGCAACTGTGAGTGGATCCTCTGTGTGCTCTTGTGAGAGTGTGAGTGTGAGGACATGGGCACATGTCTATATTTGTGCCTTCATCTCTGGTGACAGTGGTATGGGTCAACCAGCTATAGGGAATCTGTGATCATATCCACATGATGACATACTAAGAAGTCAACACTAGAACGTTCTACAAGGAGCAGGTTGGGACAGTGGGATGATCCTAAGAGAAATTACTTTTTCCTAGGATGCCTGTGGTATAGAGAGAATAGTTTGGAGAGCTCTTCTAGCTTCTCAAAGCTGAGGGTCTGGCTGAAGCCAGGCTCCCCAGCTCAGTGTGTGGCATGCACATATGGATGCCATTGTTTGCCACTGTACCATAGAAATGTACAGGGAGAACAGTTGGCAGCCCCGGTCAGCCCTAGACAAAATATATGTGGAAGAGGCTCAGGCTGGAGGGGCCCAGGAAGTGACCTCACTTCCTTAAAATAGTCCAGATGGAACATGGAATCCTGGTTACCAGGTAACTGGAGGCCAGCAGCAGCATCAACAGACTCATTTCTCTGGAGGTGCTTGAACATCCAGGATGTTCTGCTGTTTCCAGACTTCTGATGATGGCTCAGGCCACCAAAAAACCAAGAGTCGTGGCCTTGGCCACCTTTGGAGACGTTGGGTGCGCCCAGTGACCCAACACCTCTGGCCATTTTCCCACAGGGAAACCAAGGTAACAAGAGGTCAGCCTGTAGAGGCCCACCACAATGCTTGACATGGTGTGTGTTCCTGTGAGAACCCTGAGGAACATTCGTTCGGTCTGCTTTTCACTTCAGTGTGTGGTGATGGGTTGGTGATGTCTCTGAGTTTTTATTTTAAACCCTCCTACCTTCTTTGCTCTTTCCTCAGAGTAAAAGGAAGCTGCATAAGCCCATCACGTTGAATCCTAACAGCCCAGACTACCTGGAAAAATTCATAGCATATATTCCAACTGCCGTCAATAACCAGAACATCACTGACATGTATATATTTTTGGCTATCTACCCAAAGTTTGCCACCACCTGGGAGGTGCTGGACCTGATCATGGAAATGTGAGTGGTTACAAACAAGTTCAGGCTCTCACGCCTCCTGCTCTGGTTTTAGGGTGGCTCTACTTACTCTTCTCTGGGACTGTATGCTCTCATGGGATGAGGATGATTGTACCCTGGCATCATTGGTCCTGGGTACTGGCCCTTCAAAGTGACATGGCAAGAGATGGGGTGTGGGAGACAGCTCTAGATTGTGCCATTCACTCTCCCCAAGAAGTGTCAGACACTATCCTTTCTTATGCCTCGAGCAGAGCCTTTTCTCCCAATTGTGTTAAAGGTTCTAGACATTATCTAGGTTTGATGGGATGGATGGAGCCAGATATGATTCTCTGAGGGACACCCAAGAAGTCCTGTACCAACTGAGAAACCTAGCAGGGAGGAGGTTAGGTTCCACCCATTGCATGAAGAAAGATCCTTGAAGAGCTGTGAGCTCATTCCCAGACCCTCAACATGTAAGTCAGACGAGCGCAAAGAGTCCTCAGCACCCTCACCCTCTTCCTGGGTCCTAACCCACACCAGATTCCAGTAGCTTCTTCTAGATCTCTTGGTGGGTTGGGGACACTTGGGCTTAGCAGTGATACCCCCATGGATTGCCACAGGTATGGATCTTTCCAGCCTGACTGTGTGGAGGATCAAGAAAGAAAGACGTGAGTGGGTTTGGGTGAGGAGGGAGGTAGGAGCCTATCTGCACAGTGGGATGTCTGGGGTGGCTAGGGTTCAGGACTAAGCCATTACCAGTCACCCTGTCTTGGGATTTCCACTAGAGGGATGGTGCCAGAGACTTCACCTGCAGGTGGAGAAAAACAGAGATCCCCAAGGGTCTCCTTGGTTCTAAGAAGCACAGGGAATAATTGAAGCTGAAAGGCCCTAGGGGAACCCTTCCCCACCACATTCCAGCCCAGTGTTCCCAGTCTGTTTTCCAAGGGACAGAAGTGTCTGGAGTCCTCTCTCTCTACAACCCACACTCCTGAACCTATGCCCAGCAGCAAGTGGGCTGGGCAGCCTTTTCCTCATCTGAGGGACCTCTGCTGTGCTGGTGAAACAAGGCCAGGCTTCTGATGCTTCTCCCCTGTACCTCCATGCAGTGCCATATTCAGCTTTCTGTCCATGTGGCTCCAAAAGCACCCTCAGGACTTCTGTGATTATCCAGATGTGGCCACAGTAAAGAGGTTGGTGGACTACATAAGGCTCAACGTGCCTTCCTCAGATGTCACTATTCAAACTGAGGAGCTCCTGTCAGTGCTGGAGGAGCCGGAATCCAAAAAGGGTGAGACCTCCTCGGGTAGGTAGTTGAGAAGTTTGGGGGTGGTTTCGGTGATGGGTTGTACCAGGGCATTGTTCCGATAGAGGCCCTGGCTTGTAACCAGAGCTGGACTCTCCAGTCTGGTGAGATGCCATGTCATGGGGACGGGGCTGTGGATTATCTGATATGAACAGACAGACCTTGTGTAACTAGCAAGGCCACCTCTGGGAAGCTCACCCTATTCTGGAAACTTCTAGAGTACCTCCACTAATGGTCCATCCCTTTCTGTCCTAGATTGTGGACTCTTCCAGGAAACAACTCCAGAAGCCCCAGTGCTGGATGTCTCAGCGATGGGAGAGACTCTGCCTCTGAGAGCAGCTTCTGTGGCAGAGCCACAGAGAGATCTGAAACCCCACGAGGACACTGAGCTCGTGGACCCAGCAGCTGGGGAACCAGCTGTGCTAGAAGCTGAACCAGTGCAGCTTCTGCCTTTGGAATCGAGTCTGCCCATATCAGCTGATAGAAAAAAACCTCTAGATGTGGCTGCCTATGTTCCAGCTGGAGAGCAGATTGTTGAACTTGGTGTTGTGCAGTTAGGTGACGCAGAGCCCTTTTTCCCTCTGCCTGAAGTTGACATATAGTTAGGTAGTAGAGTTACTTGCTGAGTTCCATCTCGAACCAGCTCCACACCCCCTTTAAAGAAAATATCTTCTTTAATTTTGTTTAATTCTTTTTATTGTTCACTTTGTTAATGTCACCTTTACTTTTGTTTAATTCTTTTTTTATTGTTGTTTTCATTGTTGGGTTGTTATTTATGTTTTAATATTAAAATATTTATTGTTTACTCATTTTTAAATTATACCATTTAGTGACTTCATGACTATTCCCCATGTGGAACAATCTACTCATGTCTACCTGTGCATGGCAGCTCTGAGCTGCTAAAACCTGGCTGGAGAGTTTTAGTGGCCCTGGATCCTTGACATCTGACACTTTCTTCCCCATCACAGGTTCAGACCAGATGAAACGGATCTCCCAGTGGTGACAGGTGGACAAGATCGAGCAAGATAGTAGATCAGTGATGTCTACTGGGAATACTGCTCAAAGATGAGGGAAGAGTTGACTGAATAAAAAGGAAGCTCTCTGGGCAGAGTGACCTTTGCCTGTCATCCTCATTAGGTTTCTATCTCTGTGATAAAACACTGACCAAAAACATCTTGGGGAGAAAAGGACTTATTTGGCTTCCCTTTCCCCATCACAATCCATCCTGAGGGATGTCAGGGCAGGAACGCAAGGCAGGAACTGAACCCACAGCCATGATAGAGCACTGCTTCCTGGCTTTATCCACATGGCTTGCTCAGCTTGTTTTCTTATGCAACCCAAGACCACATGCCCAGGGGTGGCACCTCCTGCAGTGAGCTGGGCCCTACAATATCAATCATTAATCAAGGAAATATAGCACAGACTTGCCCAAAGGACAACCTGATGGAGATGTTTTCTCAGTTGAGGGTCCCTCTTCCCAGATGACCTTGGCTGTATCAAGCTGACAAAACTAACCAGCACAGATGCAATTCAGTGCTTGAGAAGCTGGGACAGAGAATTCTAAGGTGGTTGAAGCTAGCCTGTACTCCATGGCTAGATCTTGTCACCACAGCAACAACAAAAAAACGGAGTTGCTAGTTCCAGGCCTTTCATGAACAGCTAAAACCAAGGGACTATGGGGAAATGATCACTGTGCAGGGTGGCCTGGCATGGGCCTCCAGTGTTCCTGCTTGGGTTCCATTTGTGTTGTTTGGTTACACATAAGCTTTTTCACCTCAAAATTGACTGTACAAAGGAAGACTGGGGTGATGTAACAGTCCTGGAAACAGTGAAGGTCCTCCAAAGAGACACTGCCTCTCTGATTGAACACAAGGAGAATGAGTCAATGCACCCCAGCCATAATTGGAATCACTCCAAAAATTCCATGCAGGCAAAGGGAGAACTGGGAAGCCTAGTGCTGGACTGGGGAAAAACCTGCCTCCCTATAAGATTCATAGACTTCTGGTCACTTGTCAGGTCACCTTGCAGCAGACACTGGATCACAGGGACTGATGGCTCAGTGGTAGTTATGACCACACCTTAGTCAGGACTGCTTAGTGTTGCATACTTCTTCCTTCATATTAAAACTAACTTTCTTTTTTATTTATTTTACATATGGATCCCAGATCCCTCTCGCTCGCTCCCATGGCCAACAACCCCCTCCCATCCCCGCCCCCACTCCACAGGGAGGGTGATGCCTTCCAGGAGGAATCAACAAATCTGTCAAGTCATTTGGAGTAGAGTCTAGGCCAGCTCTCTTGCCTCTAGGCTAAGGATGTATCTCTTCATGGGAAATGTGCTCCCAAAGTCCTTTCCTGCACCAGGGAGGGATACATCCTGGTTCCACTGTCAGAGATCCCTTAGACTGCCCAGGCCTTCTAACAGAGACCCGTGTTCAGGGGGTCTGAGTCGTTCAGGTCAGGACCGTAATATGGAGTGGGGTGTCACTCGACCCCCATGATTTGTTCCTCTTCACAGTGTGGGTACTTGAACTAACTCTAATTGTCTGCTCTTCTCTGTTTTTTGTTTTGTGTTGGTTTTGAAATGGTCTCTCCATGTATCTTGCTTTCTGGGAACTCACTATGTAGATAAGCCAGGCTGGCCTTTAAACTCACAGATATCCACCTAACTGCTCCTACCAAATACTGGCAAAAAAGGCATACATCTCCATGTCCAGCATTTCCCTGCTTTTCTTTCTCATCTACCAGGCCTGTGGAGAATAGGTGTCCAAAGTCTAGGTGGTTGGAGTTGCCAGGGACCAGGCTCTGACACTAACAGTCCCCTGGAGGATCCCTTCCTGTAAGTGATCCTATGAACAGCCCTCAGGTGAATGTATGGGAGATAGGAACAGCATTTTGCGGAGCTGGGGTGTCAGGAGACAAGACAAGTTGTGGGTCTGGCTGCTACAATACTGGGCTGAGAAGGCCCCAACACTACTATCCTGGAGAAGTACACCCAGCACCCCTGGGTTAACTAGGCAAAAGAGGAGCAAGCAGGCCATGATGGGTGGCCAAGGGTCTTCATTATTAAAGGTGCCAGGGCTCAAGCTCTGACCATAACAACCCCATGGAGCATCACTGCTTGTAAGCCATCCTATGAACAGCCCTCAAGTGGATGTCTGGGAGGCAGGAGCAGCGTTTTAAGGAGCTGGAGAGTCAGGCGACAAGTTGTGGGTCTGCCTGGTGGAGTACTTGTTAGAAGCCCCCAACAATACCCCTGAAATGCACACCAGGCTCCTCTGGGTTACCTGAGACCAGGATGGGAGCTAGTCTCAGATACATCAGAGAGGGCCTCCTTGTGTGTCTATAGACAACCACTGTTCTCTGTTTGCCCAAAGAGGAAGAACAACATCCTTGGGGGAAAGACTCAGAAGCACAGTTTATCAAACTTCAATAAAAAAATAAAAGCATGTGTGCTCCAGACAAAGTAATTCAGATTCTAGAAGTACATCCAGGCTGGAGTTTTCTAAATCTGGTGATCAGAGTATTTCTCCTAGATTGCTTTACTCCCCAACAACAGGTGGACTGTGTTTCCTTCCCTCTAATGAAGCTTTTGGGCTCTTGGCCCTGCCCTGCTGCATGGCTCTGAGAGGCCTTCTGCTGGCTCACCACCAGTGTGACCCCAGCTGTCCCCACTGGCAGCCAACATAGCATCCCTTTGCAGACCCGAGTCAGCAAGGCTTCAGACCCTTGGAACTCCAGCTGCTGGGCATGACCTGTCACCACAATTGCACAGCTGTAGCCAAAATAAGTGTGGCCATCAACTGAGATTGCTAATATTTGATGTTCTTGGTGCAGTAGTTTAATTAATAGTATAGAAATGAATGACACTGCTAAGTTGTATACAATAACCCAGCTGGAAACTTTTACTAGGTAGCACTGGACACTGATCATGGTTTTTACAATGAGCTTCTCTGTGACCACAAAGAGAACAAAAATGGCTGGAGAGATGTCTCAGTGGTTGAGAGCACTGGTTGCTCTTGTGGAGGATCAGGTTCAATTTCCAGCATCCACGTGGCACCTCACAACCATCCACAACCCCAGAATCGAGGGACTCAGCATGCTTTTCTGGCTTCCATGGACATTGCACACATGCACTGCATAGACATACATGCACTCATACGTGTAAAATAAGATAACTTGTAAAAGAAGTAAAACATTATGTAAATGTTCTTTGTATATTGTCATATAAATACATCTTAACATTCAGCATGTCCCTTCTTACTTATCCTTCTATTCCCATAAGTCCCTTTAAACACCATTGGTCCCTTTAAACTCCTTATATAGTTCATGCTATTTATACTGGTATAAATTTTTATATTTCTATAAAATTTGGGAACCACAATATTTCTCCTCTCTTTTTTCTGCCTTGTGGTTTTGCATTGAATTTTAAGTTTCTCAGTTTTCCTTCAATAATCCTGAAACTTGAATAGGAATGAAATTTGAACTGGTCACCAAATAATGAAGATAAGGAAACTTTTTACCAAATTCTCATTTTTTTCTTAGTTTTTGGAGAAAAGGTTTCTCTGTAGCTTTGGAAGCTGTCCTAATGTAAGTTCGTACTTTTCCCTGGGGTAAGGAGAGTTGGGAGTGGTGTAGACACCTGCAATCCAGAACACAGACATCAATGTCTGGGGATGCAGAAGAGGCACACTGTTGCCTGTGGAAGCTCAAAGGGAATAAATGCTAGAATGCATAGAAACAGAGAGGAGCCCAGCCTGGTCCTCTAAGTGAAAGGCACCATTAAACATGAGCGCAGTTTGCTTCTGTCTCTTACCCCAACACTAACCTCATCCTAAATATCCCTAAGGCCACCTAAGCATGAACCTTTCTATAGTGGCATGCTCCTGGGCAACTGTAAGTGGATCCTCTGTGTGCCCTTGTGAGAGTGTGGGTGTGAGGACATGGGCACCTGTCTCTATCTGTGCCTTCACCTCTGGTGACAGCGGTATGGATTAACCAGGTATAAGGGCTGCGCAGCCTTTTCCTTATCTGAGGGACCTCTGTTGTACTGATGAAGCAAGGCCAAGATTCTGACACTTCTTCCCGCCAACCTGTTCCTCCATGCAGTGCCATATTCAGCTTTCTGTCCGTGTGGTCCACACACATCCCCAGAACTTCTGTGATTATCACAGCGTGATCACAGTAAAGAGGCTGGTGAACTACATAAGGCTCAACATGCCTTCCTCAGATGTCACTATTCAAACTGAGTAGCTCCTGTCAGTGCTGGAGGAGCCGGAATCCAAAGAGGATGAGGAGACATGGGGTAGGTGCCTGGGAAGCTCGGAGGTGATTTTGGTGATGGGTTGTACCAGGGAATTCTCCAGATAGAGGCCCTGGCTTGTAACCACAGCTGGACTCTCCAGTCTGGTGAGATGTCATGGGGATGGGGCTGGGGATTATCTGATATGAACATACAGACCTTGTATGACTTCTGCTCTGTCAAACTGGACAGCAGAGCCACGTAGAGAAGAATGAAGTTAGCTTAACTGTAATGGTGTCCACCCTTCTTACCCACCCAGAGCTGCACTTAGCCCTCATTATACCTTGGGATACTTTGTTGT